AATTTGTGGCAAAACACATCAGTTTTACGTTTATTTCACAATTTTTAGACACATTTTTAGATAAAAATCAGCCAAAAAACGCAACTTTTATTAGCGTTAATATATTTATCGATTCAACTGTTGATTACAAACACAACCATTAGTTAAGCCTATTTTGTGGTAAAAATTGTTGTATGTTTTTGTCTATCACTTGATTCACTGATTACCTGTAATCATAAATGTGTTTGTATTTCATATAACATGTATTGTTATCTATTTATCTATAATTAGTTGTAATATTTGTTAATTAGCGTAAAATATTTGTCGCAAACTTTTTGTTCATTCATTTCACGATTTCTATATGTTTTTCAGTGGAAAAAGTTGTATGAAATCATATTTCGTTTATTGAAAGCAATGTTTAATTTATTTTATATGTTATGTATTAGTAATGAGACAAATATTTCTCGCTTACAATCTGTTTATTGCAATTAATTATTGAGTTTTTATTACTTTTTTAAAAGTTTTTTTGAAACAAAACTTTTTGCTATTGAAACTAATTTATTTGATTGAAATTCTTTTGAGGTTTTAAAAAATGGTTTGATTTAATGTGTAATTTAGGGCTTATTTCGGTTAACAAAACTGAGACGATTGAGTCTCTCTGACAATGAAATCGGACGTTTGCCACAAGACATCGCGAATCTGATCCAATTGGTGGAGATTGACGTCAGCAAGAATGACATCCCAGAGATACCCGAAAACATTAAATTCCTAAAGTGTCTACAAATCGCCGATTTTAGTTCAAATCCATTGCAAATGTATGTAAATTAGTTGCGAATGCGGTTGTGATTTGAGTTTTTGCTAAAACGGTATTAATTTTGGTGTTATTTTTGGGAACAGATTGCCGACGGGTTTTACGCAATTACGATGTCTGACATCATTGGCACTAAACGACATATCGTTGCAACAGTTGCCCAACGATTTCGGTTCACTCAACGCATTAGAATCACTCGAATTACGGGAGAATCTGTTGAAGACATTACCGCCGAGTGTTTCCTTTTTGGTGAAATTAGAACGACTCGATTTGGGCTCCAATGACATCGAAGAGTTACCCGAAGTGATCGGCCAATTGCCGAAACTGCAGGAACTATGGCTGGATTGCAACGAATTGAGTACTTTGCCCAAAGACATCGGCCGATTGCGGCGACTCACGTGTCTCGACGTGTCCGAGAATCGGTTGGAGTATTTGCCCGAAGAGATGGCCGGTTTGGAGAGTCTCACAGATTTGCATTTATCGCAAAACTGTTTGGAGACACTGCCCGACGGCATCGGCCAGTTGTCCAAACTGTTGATCTTTAAAGTGGATCAGAATCGTCTGCTGTCATTGAATCCGACAATCGGCGGCTGTTCTGCGCTCCAGGAGTTGATCCTAACGGAGAACATGTTGACTGAATTGCCGCCAACTATTGGCAATTTGGTTCATATGACAAATTTCAACGTCGATCGCAACCAATTGGAGGAATTGCCGCAACAGATCGGGAATCTGACCAAATTGGGTGTTCTCTCGCTGCGAGACAATCGCATACAACACTTGCCGGTAGAGATGGGACAGCTTCGGGAGCTGCGTGTGCTCGACGTGTCCGGCAATCGACTCAATCACCTGCCGTACACCATAACGGCGCTAAACCTGAAGGCCCTTTGGTTGGCCGAGAATCAGTCGCAACCGCTGTTGAAATTTCAGACCGATTACGACGAAGACAGCCGTATGAAAGTGTTGACCTGTTTTCTACTACCACAACAGGAATACAATCCCGAGAGTATAGGTATGTTTGACAGCATCACTGTTGCACAACATTCATGTATACTTTTTAGGAATTATAAACAATAATGTATTTTTTTGTTGGCATTTGAAATTCAATTCTTGTTTTATAATGATTTATATAATGAGCTCTTTTTTATTGACTGTTATATTATTTAACAATAATATTTTATTGTTATGATTGTATTATTTGAATACATTTGGTTCTGCATTAGCTGTTCTGTTCCCCTGCACTCTGTCCTTGACTTTTGTCGATAAGATAGTTACGGAATGAGAGAGAAATCGCTAACAAATAACTCAAAATATAGCACACAATTAGACGTTCGCATCATTTGTTTGTTTACTCTTTTGCTGTTAATTGTGTTATATCTTCACTTTTTATCGCCTCTTTATTATTTGATTTACTATTTTATACGCTTTTTGTTAGTGAATACACACTTGTTGTGCAACTAATCTGTTTATATACGTGTGCTTTAATTGACATCTGTTTGAAAACCTGCAGAGAATTTCACGGACAACAGCCTCGAGAGGGCCAATAGCATCAATTGGGATCAACCGAGACATACGGCCGTCAAGTTTGCCGAAGCCAGCGATGAGGAGGACGACGAAGAGAGTGGCGAACCCATTGTGAATACAGTAATCGCCGATCAATTGAATTTCGTACGACACGATACGCCGCATCCGCGCGAACTCAAGGCCCGACACCAGCGGCTCTTCACTAAGGATAGCAAAGACCAGTCGACGGACGAAAATAAGGAGAACACCGCCAAAGACGTGACGCAACAAATGAATCAACAAAATAATAACAATTATAATTCCGTCCAAACGTCGCGTCAACGGCACAGCACGGCGTCCACCGAATCGGCCGAATCGTACGCCTCGTCAGTGATTGTGAAGAGTGACTCTGAAGTGGCGGCCGCACAACAGGCGGCTGATAGTAGACTCAACGACTCACAGGTGGACTCCGCGGCCGCCAAAGCATCGAAAGCACAACACGAGACGTCCGATTCGGGCAGTGATCCCGATCTGAACGGTGGCGACAAACACGTGGGCTTTTCAGGCTTCGAAGAGGACGAGGTGGAGGTCCAGGAGGAGGACGACGAAGAGCGGGCCGAATGGCATAACAAACTCCATCGCAGGGATACTCCGCACCACTTGAAGAACAAACGCATTCACACGACAAAAGACGAACAACAAAGGGTGGCCTCAATACTGGCCGAAGCCATGAAACAGAAAGAGCACAATCCTCTGCAGCAAACCTCGTCTCGCGGCGAAAGTGTGATCAGTGGCGGTGACAACGAGTCGTTGCGAACGGTGTCGTCGGTCTCGAACGCCGCGCCGTCCGTCTCACAGCTCAGCACTAATAGTAACGTAGAGTACATACAAATGTCAGTGCGTGTGAAGCGGACGGGCGGTGGCCTCGGGCTCAGTATCGCCGGCGGTTTGGGTTCGTCTCCCTATAAGGGCGATGACGAGGGGATATTCGTGTCGCGCATCACCGAAGAGGGCCCGTCAGACGTGGCCGGCCTTAGGGTTGGCGATAAGATATTGTCGGTCAATAACGTGGACTTTACCGAAATCGATCACTACAAGGCTGTCGATGGGCTCAAAACCGCTGGAATGGACTTCATTGTCATTATCATACGTGAAGTGCCGATCAAACAGAACTCAACGCCCAATGTCTCTGTCGAGCCGTCGAAGCGGTTGTCGCCCAAGAAGTCGCCGCCGGTTGTGATGATCAAGTCGTCGTCCCAACAGAACGGTGACATCGGTTCGCCGACAATCGGCGCCTCAACGCGTCACCCGATGACCACCGCATCTCAACCCCAAACGCCGGACTTTGATTTAAATCGACAGATCATTTACACGACACTCATTCGCAAAGAGGGAAGTTTGGGATTTAGTATAGCGGGTGGTATTGGCGGCACTCCCTATAAGGAAGGCTCCGAAGCCATCCACATATCCAACATTGTTGAGGGCGGGGCCGCACATCGCGACGGAAAGCTTGGTGTCGGCGATCGCGTGCTTTCTATTAACGGCGTCGATGTGGACCATCTCCGACACGAACAGGTGGTCGGTATGTTGACGGGCGTCGACCGCTTCGTCAGACTCGTTGTCCAACGAGAGGGCGCCGACGGTTTGGGCGAGAAGTCACCCAAAATGTATGGTATGGCGCGTCCCTACACCGGGCTCTACGCCTCCTCTTATATGGCAAACCGGCCCTCATATACCGGATCGTACAGAAGGCCAACACTCGGATCGGTGAGCAGTTTGGTGGACGTGGACGCCAAGTCGGCGCCTCAAACGCCAACTGCTCTCCATTCGCCGGGCAGTCGGCCGACACACTCGATATACACCAAATTGCCGGGTCTTCGCAATGAGGGGATGACCTCACACTCGAGCGCAACCCTACCCAACAATCATACAATCAGTGCCTCTGCTATCAATCCATCCCATATGTTAAGAAGTGCCTCATCTCTCGACACAAATGGTTAATACATTTTACATAACATTTATTTTGTTTCATTAAATGTAACGCATATTTCTATCGTACTTCAGGTGCCAAAAGGTTGTCCTCATCCACAAGCGATGGTCCACTACTGAGTGTAACGATTCAGAAACCGGTCCAAAGCGGCGGTGAATTGGTCTCCAAATTTGACAGTCCATTAGAAGCACAATTCCCGGACGCGCCCACAGATGTGGGCGTCTTCACCGAAGTGATCACCAAAACCACATACACCGAAAACATAGTGACTAGAGTTACTAATAATGTCCTATCATTGCCCCCCATTGATGAGGTCAGTCGTTCGCTGACCCCCTATTGTTTGCCGTTTTATTCAATTTGCATTTGTTTTCTCTTTGTCTCTAATAAAGACCGTAACACTTGTCAAGTCTGACGGACGAGGTCTCGGTCTCAGTATTATTGGAGGTTCAGGTAATTGTTTTATTTACCCATATTTTGTGCTCAATAAGTGTAAATCTAATGGTTTTTTTCGATGGCAAATGACAGACCATTCGTGTCATCCATTTGGCGGTAGCGAACCCGGGATTTTCGTATCGAAAGTAAGTGTTTTAATCACTATTTCTTATTTTATGTTTGTTTCAAAATTATTAACATTTTGTGTGCCATCACTGATGAACAGGTCGTAGCCGATGGTCTCGCTCACAGAACCGGTAAAATACGAATTGGCGACCGACTGATCGCCGTTAATGGCGTCGACGTATCGAAGGCGACGCATAACGAAGCGGTCAATGCCTTAATAAAACCTCTCAATGAACTTACGCTTACCATAAGACACGAGCCGCTGCCCAAAGGCTGGAAGGTTTGCTCCCATATATTATATTTACTTTTTTATCATAACTTAAAATTTTTTATTCTTAACCTAAATTACTGTCTCATCCAATCCATCCCTTAAACCAAATTTTGTGTAAATATTTTTATTTAATTGCTATCCATGTGTTGAATTGTGTGTTAACCACTATTTCCGGTGTCTAATAGTGTCCACCAGTCGATGTTAGAGTAAGAAAAACTAACTTCAAAATTGTTATTAGTTTTGGTTTATTTTGATTGGTTTTGTGTTTGATTTGTTATGTTTAGTATTGAAGTAATTAATAACATGTGAACTAATGTTTGGTTTGGCATTTGTTTTGTATTCAGGAACTAATTATTCACAAATTGCCGATTGAAAAGTTGGGAATGAATGTGAAGGGCGGTGCGACCGGACAGCCCGGCAATCCATACGACAAGGACGACGAGGGAGTGTTTATATCGAAAATCAATCCGAACGGCGCGGCCGCTCGTGACGGCCGTCTCAGACCCGGTATGCGAATCATTGAAGTGAATGAGATGTCACTTCTGGGCGCCACTCATCAGGAATCGGTGTCCGCCTTACGAAACGCCGGCAATAAAATTATTTTACTCGTTTGCGACGGTTATGAACCATCGGATTCCACACCGAATCGGTCGTCCGTTTTGAGTGAAATACCGACACCCACTTCGCCCACAGCTAAGAGTTTTAAGTCATTTTCATCTGTGGATAAGGAGGACGAAGACGAAGTGTTTGCCGCGCCATCGCCTCCCAAAGTGACAGAAAGGGTTGTGAACAATGTCTCTGAACCGACGCCATCGCCTCCCGTCTCCAGAATACCAATTCGTGAAACGAAAGCCAACGAGACTTCGAGGAGTCAATCATCGTTTGTGACGAGTAATGCGATTGTCAATAATAGCGAAGAGTTGTCCGTAAGAGAGGAGAAGAATGTGAACCAAGCGGTGATCGAAGTGGTGAAAGCGGCCGAAACATTGACTAAACACACAACGAATACCACTAATGCATCCAAAGAGCAAAAGACAACGACTGTAATCATGAAGAAGCATAACGTGAATACAGGGCCGGCCGTTACCACCGCTGCCACCACTCCTACCACTGTCACTGTAAGTCATTTTATAGCTTTATTATTACATCTTATAAATACCATAAACTCTTGATACAAGTTAACGATTTAGACAATCTATAAATATATTTAGTATTATTTAATTCTTTATTTTATTTAAAACAGATTTTTGTTATTTATATTTCGTTATCTATAGACTATATTATTTTAAAATAGGGTATTATATAAGAATATAATGAATATCAAGAGTTTATTGTATATTCTTTATTCTTTAAATCAATGATTGGTATTGAAGTAAATCTATAACTTATTTCTATCCATTCCTTCCGTGTCTTTCCCGTCCTTTCTATCGATTGTGTACCTAAACAGCGATGAGAGCCCTAAACACTCCTCCAATACGCTCTCAATTCATACGATAAATAAACTCAATTTCATATCAAATTATAAGCACTTATTTGTGTATTCAATAAGTATATCGAAAATCAACAAACACTTCAACATAAGACTCTTTTCGATGAGCTTTTCTCTGTGTCCAAACATTGTATCCGTGTTTTTGTTTCGTTTCCAATGAAAGCATTAAATATATATTTATTTATTTGAAACGCTTTTCTCAAACAAAATAGCGAAACGAATTTATTTGATTCAATAAAATAATAGCATTTCATTAATTGAATTATAATATAACTGAATATTTGATTAACAAATTGCATGAATAAGTTTTACCATTGAATGAGTTATGCAAACAATTTAATTGAATGAAAAGAGTTTATTTTTTCAATCATTAGGCAATTAATATATAATTACTATTTTTATTATTAATTTTTGCTCATTTGTTTGTTTGTTGTTAAGAATTGTCATATATTTTTAGTATTGATTTCTATACTATTTTCTTGATTTTTAACTTTTCTAATTAACTCCTTTAGTGTTTGTCTTAATTATAGTTTGATTTTTTGCATTTATATGATGTTTGAAACTCTAATCCCATGATTAATAGCCACCCGTTTCCGCACGAATAATCACTAAGAGTCCGAACCCCTCATCCCATGCAAGCACTCCGACACACAGTCCGACTCCCAGCCCCTCCCGCGGCGGCTCCCGAGCGTCCACTCCTATTAAGACCAGAACGCCGTCGCCTATACTGAAGATATCGCCCAACAAAGGCTGGACCACATCTGACAACGAGATGAGTCCAATCAGTCCAATGCTGGACCCGTACCAGACGTCTCGAATACCGGGCGCTAAACCACCGAAACCAGTCAAACCACCCAAACCCAGAAATCTGGCCCTAATGTTGCAGAAGCCGACGGAATCGCCTGAAAGACTGGCCTTCAATGAGAAGAAGCGTCGTTTTGAACAGGGATTTCAGACGAAGTCCGAAACCGAATCCATTACAACACAGTCTCAGAACGAGTCCTATTCGGAGAGCAAACGATTTAGTTATCTGTCGGCCGACGAACTCGAGCGCCTCCGCGAAGAGGATACCAAAAAGTTTGCCACACTTTCTGAGGAACAGATCAAGTCATTGATGTCAATGACCGAAGAGGACGACGAGTACGACGACGAAACCGAAGAGATGATCGACCAATTCGTGTCCGAACACTCTTCAGAACAGATCGATTCCGACAACAAGAGAGTGTACCGAACGGCCAAATCCGAGCGCCGATACATAGAGCGCATGAGATTGAGTGGCATTGATTTGGACGCAGAACTCGACGAAGACCTCCAGAACCTAACACCCAATCAGAGGCGCATCCATGAGGCAGAGAAGAGAGCGAAGTGGCGTCAGGAAAGGCTGAGATCCATTGAAAACGATGCCATCGCTATCGCACGCGTCAAAGAGATGAACGCAGAGATAGCGGCCGAGAGGGAGGCGTCGTCGCCGCACACCTCTCCCAAAATGCATGTCATCGATATTGATATCGATGGCCGCAATACAAGTGGTAATTGTCTTTAAAACTAATGTGCTTTTTGTTGAATATTATTAAATGTTTTTTCTATGTCCTAAACAATCAGATAAATCGAATCGAAGCACAGGCAGCAGCGATGGAGAGCACCGGCAGTACAGCCCCGGCAGTCAATCGGACTCTTCGCCCAAACATATTAAATAGCATTAAATCAAAAAATACAAACAAATTATATTTTATTTGGTGTTTTGTGTTTCCCTTAAACAATAGATATTATTATCAATCATTTGAATCATTTTTAGTGCTCTTATATATTATATATTAACAGCGATTTTAATTATTTATAAATTATTTTTATTATTTCGACAAAAAATTATTTTTTCAGTACTACTTAACGGAAACGAATAGCTCTTATTTTGTTAGTAATTATTATAATCATTAGTTATTTGTGCCGACGTCTCGTGTTTTATGTTTTTTGATTTTGTCATTTATTTACATATGTTTTAATCATATTTTTAATTATATATAATTTCTTTTAATTGTAATCAGTAGTGATTCTGTGCAGCAATTATTCCCGATTCGCAGCTCTTTTTAATTATATATAAATTGTGTGTTTTGTTTATTTTTTGGTGCATTTTATTTGACTTTTCATTTTATTATTTATAATTTTAAACCAAACTTTTTATCCTTTCTTTTTCGCACTCTTTATGTCGTTTTTGAAAGCAAATGATATTTTAATTGTTAAACAAAATGTTTTCCCTTTTCTCTCAAAATGTTTTTCATTTAACGGACAATTGAATACAAAATATAAATCTGTTGTGACATTCATTCACTCGATTCAGTAATACATTGTTTTTTTTTGTCGAAAATATTGTAATAAATCGCGAAAACAAATAAATATTTTTCACTTCATTTTTTGATGTTATAACAAATTTTTGTCTATAATTCTATATATTATATATAAAGTGAACACAAATTACATTTTTCTGTGATTTTCTCACAAATATAAACGAAACAAAAAAACTTTGGTATTTGAGATGAAAAAAGTGTAATAAAAATTTACTAATAAAAAGTAAATTTTACTGAAAAAAATATTTTCTAATTTATTTATTATATTTCCATATATATTGAAATCGTTACTTGGAATTTATGAAATAGAATTGATGATGGCTAATTTTTGTTTAATCCAACAAATAATTTCATGATAAAAATAAAATAACTATTAAATACTAAAACAGGTAAAATTAACTTCTAAAATGTACAGTTAAATTCACAAACTATACGTCGCTTTCCATTCGCTACACGATTATACATATACAGTATTAATTTGTTTGGTTTATTTTGTGAACCTCTGAAGACTGAAGACTTTTAGTCCGTTTTATATGTTTTTACGTCGATATCACTGTTATTTACAAATTTACAATGAAAGCTATGCACAAACATATAAAACGCACAGGGACTAAAAGTCTATATGCGTGCCCCCAACATAATTCATAGTAAGCATAATGAGCCCTATGACATGACTGACTCTAACAAATGTAACACAAAACATTTAATGAACTTTTCCATTCTATTAGGTTTACCTCTAAAAGTATTTGATTTTAGAACTGCTGCTGACATCTAGTGATAAAATGATAGAAACATTAGTTATTGAAATGCTTTTATACTTAAGTTTCTGTCAGTTTATCACTAGATGTCAGCAGCAGTTCTAAAATCAAATACTTTTAGAGTTAAACCTAATAGAATAGAATAGTTCATAAACTTTCTATCATGTACAATGAGGTTCACAAAATAATACTAAATCTTATTAAATTAAAAATATACATCATAATTTTATTGCATAAATTCCAAACTGTTTTTATTATAAATATGTTTAACTATTGGTTTCACATGAAAAGTCTAATTTACAATAAAGTTTTACTTCAAAAATACACATTAATTGAAGGATAAGTATTAGTTTCTACAACAAAATATAGAATATTCTTAAAGTCGATATAAGCGATGAGAATTCAATAGAATGTATCGACAAATAGAAGTTACAAATCATTTCCTCATTGAAATATTTTTATGGAAAATTACTTTGAAATCAATGAACAAATAGAGAAACAATCAAAAAATATTTGATTTATTATTAGGAATGCGGTGTAAGTGTTGTCACAGGAATTCAGTTGTTTTCGTTTTATAAGTTCTTTTCCATATATCGCACAAACAGACCGTTGAGTGGAACCGATAGAAGATTGTCAACGGCATTGTCACGTGTGTTATGATAGTCCACGCCCAGAACCTATTGGCCACAAACAACACACAAGTGAGAGAGAGAGAGAGCGAGAGAGAGAGAGAGAGAG